GATTCTTGGTCCCCAGCAATGACCGTAAGTTCAATTTGCATCAGCATTCTCTCTATGTTGTCAAGTTCACCAGTTAAGGTATATCGGGTTTCCAATCATTGCTATTTTGTTATTCTATTTTAATTCTCTCTGTTTATATTACGTTAAACATTTTATGTACTGATATTCGGGGCCTATGCAGCAACGACCGGCTGACAACGACCGTTACGTGAAGAACTGTAAGAACGGACGATCTCCCAAGGAGACGAGATGGTGGTTCCATGATGATAAAGTGTGATGTTGAAAACTCCCGAGAAAAACTGTGATATTGACTCACTCTAGGTCCCTTAAAATTTTCCTCCCTCACTAACATTAGGGGAAGAAAAGGAAAAACTTGTCTGGGTTCAGAAAGAATAAAAATAAATAAATAAATAAATAATCTTTATTTTTACGTGTATTCTGGATTCTTTGCACGGCCCAAAACATTTGGTAGTTGCTAATGTCTAATGTTGATGTATTTATGTATCTAAATCAGTAGTTTATATATTGTCTCAAGCAAAAATGGTGGATCTATGCTCATAAGTCATAAATGAGGGAACACAAATCAAACTAGGGCTTGCTTGAATTTAACTCTAGACTTGTGTGATGCTTGTTGTTCCTTTGTCTGCGTTTGCTATGAAGTAATTCAATCCATCGAGCTGGTTTTCGGTGAAGGTAGACAAGGAAGAAATTAACAAAACTTATATCTAAAGAATTCTTCCCCTTAGTTTTGTAGATTGTTTTAACTCATACTGAGGAGGAGTCTAGGTTTATTTGCAGCATTTTATATTTGTATCCAGCAGTTTTATCTGATAGTCTATTCCTATCACAGCATTTGACTTGTATTAATTCTACTCTTGTGCCAAAAAGATTTTGTTTTAATTAGTAGACATTTTAATAGTCGTGTTGAGTAAGGAGTAATCAGTTTATAGGCATTTTATACTCTTGTGAAAGGATACTTAGTTGGGTGATTCTACAGTCAGGTAACCTTGTTCGTTAGCTTGTACCTACTTAACAACTTGTATTCCTTAATTGATTGACACCTTGTACGTTAGCTTGTACCTACTTAACAACTTGTATTCCTTAATTGATTGACACGTGCCTTTTTTTTATTTAATTAAATAAAAAATAAAAAAAAATACTGGTTGGAAGTACGAAAATGCCCTTACTTAAAAAAATTATAAAATATATTGTTCAAATATCAATATATTTATGTAGAAAGTGTTTAATTATTCTTATATTATTATTTTACCCCAACACATTTAGGTATTTCAACTAATCCACAAATTCTTACTAAATTGCATTTGATGAAATCGGTCGATCATCATCATATTGAAACCCTTTGCCGTGAAGATTATCCAATCACCTCTGAATTTTTCTTTATCATTCGATATCATTTGACGAAAACCAAACTTGAGATGAATATGATCACTCGATTTTCATCTTTTCTGGAGCTCAGTCTTATTAGGTTTTGCTTCTTCTTCATCTTCTCTTTTCATTTCTGATTTATATAATCGAAAATGGTTAAAAGAATAAAATAAGTGTTATATTAACTACAAATTCATTGATGGTAGCAGTCGAACATTAATCTGCTACCACCCATCAAGTGGAAAACTAGGTCAGCGGGTGGTATTGCTGCTTTGGTCGCCGACGATGAGTTCATTGGTCGCTTCTGTTTATGGCTCGTGGTTTTGATTACTTCTTCGCCAAAATATACTCGAGAGACTATGGCAGTTTGGTTTTGCGAGGAAATTGGAATGTGGTTCTGTCATCAAAATCAAAGCCGAGGGCTATTTTATTAGGCTATCAAACCCTACATTGGGCCCCGACATCGAGATAGCGAAATCCTCACATCTGGAGAAATCCTCCAATCGCGACTCTCCCTGTTGAATCACACAGTCAGGATAGCGAATTCGGGCCCCGACATCGGGATTTCAAAGGCCGCCAAGGACGCCTTAGAAATCGGCATGAAGCTCTGGCGAGAGCTCGAGTTAGCCGGAAAAAATAACAGCAATCTGGTGTTCGGCAACAAGAGAAGTACTGTTGTTATGTGGCAATTAACAACGATAATATAATGAAAAACACGTTGGGTATTCAAAAGAGAGAGATTCAGAACTTGATAATCGAAAAGGGAAATTTATTGAATATTATTGTATATTTTTTCATGTGTCTCCCCTGGAGAGTCTATTTTTCTCTTATATTATAATTTACAACACTTATCAGCAATATAATCATTACATTAGAATAGTCAACGGCTGCTAATTGCCATTTATCTTGGTAGCGTGCCACTTGGCCAGGTGTAATGATGATTTGTGCTGAGTTGGCGCCGCCTTATGGTGTCGGTGTGGCAAGTCATAGATATCGGTTCGATTAGTCATAACCGATATGTCCTAACCGACATGTCGTACCCGACATGTCACAACCGATATGAGATGTCGGTTAGTTGATGAAGATGTCGGTTCTTGATCCATTTTCTCCCGATATTAAGTGATCGTGGATTTTTCTATTGCGGAGAGTTTTATACTGAGTTTAAATTTCGGAATGGATAGTCGTACAGATTTTGTACTCTCCTTGCTCCGTGACTTAACTAAATTTACATTCTCAGCTAGAACTGTGAGGCTTGGGATTATGAAAAAGTTTTTCTTTCTTTTTTTTCTAATTCTTGACTTGAGTTTGTCTCTAGATAATACTGTGTTCTTCTGAAACTGAAAGTCTAGTACGTTTGAGCAAGTTTTAGGTACTGAGTTCTACCTGTAGAAATTTGTCAAACATGGAAGTTAAATTTTTTATTTAGTTATACCTTATTATCTCATTGAGACGAATATAACCTTTACGTACTCACACGCTAAAGGTATAGTCCCGAGTGGGCCCCTTGTACCCACGTTCGGAATATTATTGTCCTCGCAGATGCATCCATGCAATGACACAAGTCATAAGAAATCCATCTAAGTGTTGGAAAAATCAGTTGTAAAACTTGAGTTTAACCC